TCTATTTATCCTCCAAATCTGGAATCGCTTATAAATATTCAATGACAGGCAATTCTCACCAAGATACTAAGCAGAGAACATCTCAATTGCCAATTATCTGATGATTATTATATCTTTTCGGGAATCGTCTTGCTGGAATTTTGAGCTTTCCACAATTCTTTTCATCCTTCTCGAAATTTGTTACAGTTCTTCATAATTTTGTCGATCCTGTTAAAGAAGAAAAATAATCGTTAAATAAAAGATCGAATGAACAACTGATTTGTTAGAAATGATAAACATAAAAAGAAGTGAAAATTGTTATTGAAATATAGGAAAAGAAAATGACGAGACTTTTGATGCGATATTTTACCCAAGATTCTTTGCATCGAGTAAGTAGTACAAGCAAAGCGGAAAGTGAAACCGATGCAATAAAACATAAATATAATACTTGTGAAACTTTAACGCTGTAACACTTTAATAAACTACTTATTCGTCATTATTATACAATAATTTTTTTTTTATATAGTTATAAATTCTCAAAATATTATAATTATATAAAAAAAATAATAAAAAATTTTCAATTATCATTTAACATATGTGGATGAGCACAAAATTCTAATATTAATTTTTTTTACATCTACAATTATTCTTATTATTGATTTATTATTATATCAATTAATAGATCAAATAATAAACACATTTAGTCTATATAAATTTTAATTAGATTATTTTTTTGAGACGAAGAATGTTTATTACTGTATCATACTCTCACGCATCACATGGCGTCGTACTTGACGACGCACTACTAATACAATGGTCTGCATATGCGCATGTCCACACCCCATTCTGCTTCCGAACATATGTAGACCGAGGCACGTTTAGGAAAAGTTGATCGATATTGTCGTCGACGCTTACGTTCTCTATTTCATGTTCCACTACTTTCCCATCAAATTTCAAAATTCATTAGCCAATTCTTTGATATCAAAGATAAACGCGAGAAAATTTTGGTTTATTTTCGCTTAAACTAAAATTATCCATTTAACCAATCTAATCAATTTAAATATTTTCTTGTTGTTCAAATAGAAAAAAATATATATAATAATGTATGTAATATAGACTGAGATTAATCTCTTTGACTATAAATTAATATCTTTTAAAATCGTTATTTTTTCAACATTTTTTGTTTATCAATTTAATATTAATGACATACAAAAATTTTATATAATTTATATTAATCGCAAATTAAAGAAATTTACCATTTGAAATTTATAATAATGTTCGTCATTGCGTCAATTGTATTAAATCTTTAATAATAGCGATTAATTACTGCTAATAATATTTTGAAAATCAAATTTATAAAAAAAAAATAATTAGATAATGATAAAAAAAGTACAAAATGGAAGATAAATTTTAAAATTGAAGAATTGGAAAAACAAATAGCTGTCGTAATTTACAATTACATTTATCGATATTAGTTTTCAATATCACGAAGAGATGTTTCATCTCGTTTCGAATAAAAAATTTTTCGTGGAATACAACCGAAAGCGCGAGGAAATAAGTAAATACCTATGTGCGCGCCAGGCACAGCGCGTACAGCGAAGCGCGACGAACTTGACTCTCAAAGCAGTGGACCGTCCGACAAGTTAATAAAAACGGAACGTAGAGATCCCACTTTCTTATTATCGCACAAACAAGGTACAACACCCGCAATCATGTACACACTTCTATACTCACATGTGATAATAATTCACATAAGAAAAAAAAAAGAAAAAAAAAAAAAAGAAAAAAAAATATTCCAATGATAACGCACAAAAATTATATTACACTCACTGACCGGTTCGACTGGAATAAAACTTGTTTGTTCATCCAAGTTCGTTCTACTTCAAACTTCTTCGTTTGCTTCTTCACTCATTTCATTTCATTTTATCAATCAGATAAGATGAAGCGCGTACAGATTAATTTTTTCTTTTGTTTTCCGTTTATCGTTTTTGAAGAAATTTTTACTCTTAGATTTGCCGAACGTTTTCTTCACTTTGAAAGTTCACGCTGGTTGCGAGCGCAGTTTTCCGTAGAAAAACACAACGGGGCGCCACGAGATGTAGATACTTCTTTCTCACTTCTTCTTCTTCTTCTTTTTCTTTTTCTTCTTCTTTCTTCTTTATTCTATTTTATAGCCTTGTCTCACACGTGTCGAAAACGTGAAATCCTTTACCGAGATACAAAAACATATCGTTCGAGAAAAATCGATGGCCGAACATTGCAAATGAAAAAATGTCGATACTTTTACCATTTCAACTTTTTCTTCGCAATATTTACGCATAATGTTTTATAAAGGTAAGACTTGTAAAGCCTACATAGAGTATGCAAATATGATTTGTCCTCCGTATATATGTTTTATGCCTCACCCCTTTTTCTCTATTACCGTTCTCTTGCTACGCAACATATATATATATATATATACATATATATACATATATACATACATATATATGTATACGCACATATATTTCTCTTTCTTTCTTATCTCTCTGTTTCCGTTTCTTCTCCTCTGTCTTTCACGATCTCGCTATTTCCTTTTCCTTCGTTCTGTATCAGTTTAGCCGTATGCACAGCTCTATACGTATTGTATGTAGTATAGCGAGCGCGGCTACGTACACCATCCGTGTATACGAATACGAATGGCAGG